AAGCTGAAAAGTCACACATTTTCTTCAGATAAGGAAGTACAAAATGCAATCACCAAATTCTGGACAGATGCCAAAGGACTTCGATAAGCGTGGAATATCTACACTTGTTACATAGTGGAAGGAGTGTTTAATGATACATATTTCTGATACATAAAACTATTTTTATGCTATAAATCATCTTGTTCATTGTTCATTTGACTCACTCTTATATATGAATTTTTCCATCAAATCTGTGTTTTAAAAATCTTAGGTTTGATAAATTTTTAATTTATAATACTTAATTCGTTTGGCTATTTAAAATATATTGCATTCTGAATGCAATGTAAAGATTAAAAAAAATGATTTAAACATATGTGATTTACATTTGTACATTACGCTAGCAAAACTGCAAATCTACTAATAATAAACTTATACTTAATTATGCATGACAGAATTTATGCCATTCAGCATAAATATTTCATTGAACAGAAATAAATACCTTAAAATTATATTCTTAATTCATGAGGAATGCTTCACAAAATAACATAAATTAGTATTTTAATTATAAATTCATATAAAAAGTGCAAGTGTTTACCAATTATGCAAAAACATGACATTTTCTAAAACATTTTATTGCTACTGGAAGTTACCTATGTGAATTAATATACATTATGCACAACCCATTATATGGGAATTGGCTTAAGTTTGTACAGGCTTAATTCACTCAATTAATAATTCTTTCTTAAAATATTTACAAATACACTGAATGAAACAATACAGCTTAGTTTTTTTAATTCATTTAGTTTATACAATTACAATGAAACTATCAATATTTTTTAGTTCTGAATGCTATGCCAACAAACAACCTAAAGGCATAGTTATGGTTTTAGTGGGTATGTTAGATAGAATGCCATACACTTTTATATATATTTTTTTTATCTCTTATCCAGTGGTTCCCAAAGTTTGGGTCAAGGCCAGTGAGTTCATTAATTTATTAATTCATACTTAATAATTATATATATATATATACATTCTTTTAAAACTATCTTTCTCTCCTTTTCTATTTCAGAGAAACTGTCTGTATGTCAGTCATGATAAATTATTTTAAAAGCTTAAATCCCAATGCTAAAAAAGTAATTTATAAATATTGCTCAAACAAATTCAAGAAAAGACTAAAGGAGTAAAGTTAGTTTAGTTTTACAGCTGTGTGTACTATTCCCCTACTCATAGTATTGCTTTATTTTGACAACTGTCAAATAAAATAAATAAATAAATAAATAAAATAAAATGGAAAATAAATAAATAAGTAAAAGGTAAATGGAACTTATAACTTCAATGAATGTTCAGAATAAGAGTTCTGTGAATAGTGTTACTGGTATATTTCATTTTGTAAAAAAATACTGATCACAGCACAGCATTCTTGTCAACTTTGCACCATGCACCAGTTATATTCTAAATATGCTAGGCACACAATATTTTAATGCTGATTTTTAGTTGCATAGCTTTAGCAATACCAGTTATATTCTAAATATGCTAGGCACACAATATTTTCATGCTGACTTTTAGTTGCATAGCTTAGGTAATACTTTTACTTAACACTGAATCAAAATATTTCTAGTCAAATCAGTAATTTCATGTAAGAAATAAGTGCAAAAAAAATAAATACTCATTAAAACTTTTGTGTTTCAGTAGATACAGATAAACTCCTAAAATAAACAACAATGAAAATATAATTTTTACAAAATATTTTACTACATTTCATAATATTCCTTATTTAATTTGCATATGTTACTTTAGTTATGCATAAACAATGCAAAAGAATTTCATTAAATCAAAATCAAAAGGAAAAAAGTAGCACTGACATGTAATTAGATCATATATTGCATACAATACAATCTATACAATTTTTTTAACACATAATTTCCTATGAAAGAAAAGAAACAAACAGCAAAATTGATTTATTTTAACAAAATAGAATCTCAACTATCCATAAGCTTTAGAATTGTCATTATGACATATGAGAGAATAAATGAATTACAGAAAATTCTTCTGCCGTAATCAAACATGGGAACAATAAAAATAAATAAATAAATATATCCATAAATACAATGGATAAAAACCATGATTAGAATTAGAAATTAGTCATATTATAGGTCATCACCTTATTTACCATCATACACACTAGCTAAACCATTCCCACCCCCCAAAATTATTTTATTCAGTATTTTCATAACAATAAAACAAGACTCATGTTTTACTTAATTCTATAGTCAAAATGTGCATCAAAAAATAATAAAGAGTCCTACATGTGAGTTTATACAAGAAGTTTTACAAACTGCTCAGTAAATTTTGACAATGATACTCCCATGACTAATGAATCTGTAAGTTAATTTTCAGAGGAAAATATTTTTATGTAGTTTTATTTACCAGTAGATTATTATAATTTTTGAAATACTATTTTAGACTTTTAGCATAAATATACTGATAAAGCAATTATTTTATTGTACAATGTGGCCAATTTTGAATTATGATAGTTTTATTTTATTTATTTATATATATATATATATTTTGCTTTACATGTGAATACATTTCGTTCATTAGGCTGCTTCAATGGCTGGTGGCTAACAGAAACTGATATTTGAAGGAGTCATGAAAGAAAATTTTAAAACCATATTTACAATACAATATATAAACTGTCGATTTTTTTGTATTTTATTACTCGTTCACTTTCTAGGCGAACACTCTAATACCATAGATCAATTTCTATCCTAAATAAGTCATGAAACATTTCTTAATTTTCACTTATAGAAAAAGGTTACAAATAAAACTCTCATAGCATTGTAGTTAAAAGGTTAAAAAATGGTTAAGTGTTAAGCAATCCTAGTGTTTTCAAGCATTTCAAAATGCATAACTGATGATTACATCAGTTTCAATGAGCAGTTAAATTTTCTATTAATCATAATAATAGACCTATTATTATCATAATAATGATTTACTTTTATCTCTCATTTAATACTATGCAGTAAATTTTGTCAAACCAATACACCTACACTTCACAAAACATAATTATGTACATATAACAAGATTCTCTGATTCTTCACCAGATATGAAACTCAACACAATTTTAACTCCAAAAGAAAAAGAAAGAAACATTGATGTCATAATTCAGATAATTCAATAAGTAAAATTTATTTTATTCAAAACATATTAAAAATGTAATATTTTGTCAGTAATTATTACTTATCATCTGATAATATGAGATAAAACTTTATTTAGGAGGGGGAGATTGTACATTTATTTTACTGTGTAATAAACACATAAACTACGAAGTAAAACATAAATAAATAAATAACCAATGCTATTATGCAGGTTTAATTCATAACAGTTTTGTTACAATTTATTTGACTGATGTTCATAAATTATGCATATACAGTGCTAAGTCCGAAATCCAACTTGATAGGAGTGAAGTGTTTCCGAATTTTAAATATTAGTTTGAATCTATAAAAATTATAAAATTAAAGATTTGAAATAGCTGTTTATGAAATAATAAAGCATTCATGTTCCTAAGAAATCAAAATTCACCCCCCACTCCCGAAAAAGCCATTTCAAGAACTATTTTTTTATTAAATATTTCTTTCAATATAAGTTGTTTAAGTTGCTTCATGTTTTATACTGATATTTTCTTTTTAATTTTGCAGATAGACATAAATTATAGTTCAGTTACAAAGGTCCACTGTTCAATTCCTGTAACTGCAGCATCAAGAATTATCACTAAATTGTCAATCAAAATATTTAACTCTCAACAACTTTTCTGTAACTTTCTTTACTGTCAGTAGCAATGTTTTCTGGACTTAGAACTATATTACAGATTTTGTTAGTTGATTGGTTATTGGGGCATTGTTATCGCAAAGGAAATCTTCTGTTTTATCATCTTTGTTTATTAGCACTTCTCCACAAATTTCATTAATTGAAAATTAAAAAAAATTATGATATCTGAAAACTTTCAAGTTCCCGACTATCAGGCAGCAGTAAATGCTATCTTTTGTCTATGAACATCATTTATAAAATCTAGTTTTCACATATGGAGAGAAATTTCCATTGAATTTCTCATATTCTTTGCAGCATAGTTAGTTGAAGTATGTAATCATCGCTAACATCGCTTTTTTGTCAACATAAAAGGTTATCATGCTGTTTGATATTCAATTACTAATATTAAAAAAAATAAGTTTTAGACTGCTGCATGAATTATTTCTCAAGCTGCCATAAGCTGACAGTGATGTGGTGATGAAAGTAAAAAATAAAAAATTACTGACCAAATTAACATCAAGGTTAAAGCTGTTCGGTAGATGTAAAATCAACGATGAACTTTGGTAGAATATTCAGTTTGAGATGAATGCTAAGCAAAAAGGTGGTTATAGAACCAAATTTTTGATCAATAAAGATTTATGTTAATAAATGATTATGTTTTTTCAACACAGAGGTGCTTTATTAGAGCCAAAATGAAATTAAGAATCAGGACCCTCCACATGCTTCATTATGAAAAAAATGTCAATTGCACATGCATGAAGCACTAAGCACACATTAAAGCTAAATAATATTCTTGGAATCCAATTCTGTGTCCCTTTTCACACAAAATTTCTTTAGGGGGTGGAATTGGTGCTGGTCAAAATCTCCAGATATTGGATATCCAGATTTTGGACTTTGTACTACAAACTCACTGTTTTACAGAGCAAAAGAATAAGAATTGAAGAATTCTGAAACTAAGCTTTAATACTACTGAATTTTGAAGATAAGCTTGAAGCTTGAATTTTGAAGATAAGCTTGAAGCTTGAATTTTGAAGAATCAAAACTGCCATTGCAGAATGGAAAGAAAATGGTATACATTGTACAATCAATCAAAAGCTATGATAAAAACAAGGTATAAAAAACTTTTCTTTGAATGACAAAGTTAATTATGAAAAAACTAAAATAAAACATGCTTAACTATTCTACCATATATCCTAAGCTTGTTTCATATACTGCAAAATATATTTACATTTCCTTAATTTTCTCATCAAAATACTAAAAAAAAAAAAAAAAAAAAAAAAAAAAACCTGCAGGAAAAATATTTAGAAAGAAAGTTTATATTATTATACGAGATGCTAAAATATCATCTTACATTAACCACAAGGGAAAGGAACAGTTACTTAATTCTTGTGTGTTAATATTGGAGAACGAACCATTCATTTATCTCTATTCAATACAATTTACTCAGATAATTAAGTACTATTATGTAAGTATTAGATATTTATTTATATAACTTTTCTTTTTTCTGATTATTTAAATTTTCTACATTTATAATAGGCTGCTGCATTTTTTTAATAATGCCTTTAAAAGAATAAGAAAAATTCTCCAGTGGAACAAATTTTGAGACAGCTAATCATTCTAAATAGAAATTTCATATAAATTATAACAATGACTGTTTAAAAATGTAAAGCATATTAATCAAAATCGCCTATTTTCTAAAAACTTTTGAGGTTCTTGGGCGGGGGAAAGACTATTCTGATCAGCACATATATAAAGAATAAAATTAACTAAACAAAAATTATCCTCTATTAAAATGTATGCTTGAACATCCACCTTTGATGAAAATATTCACAATGATTTGCTTTAAATGTTAAATATATACAATGAATGATACACTTTAAAAATATAGTTTCTTCCATGGGCTTGATTACATTGTTTTGCCAAACATTTTACTTTATAATTTATTTCAATTATTCACAGATAATTAAAAATTATTTTCAAATATTACAATAACAGTAAAATATTGTATGGAACAATGTAATAAGCATGATGGGGAGAAAACGTTTGTGACCAGAAAATGTTATTAAGCTAGAGGGGTAATAATAAATAAAAACTTAAGAAGAGATTTGGCCAACTCTTCTTTTAATTTTAAAAGGAAAGAAAATATAAATGCTTCACAGATCATTTAAAAAATCTACCAATACTCAGATTCTAAAAGTCTGTCAACATGAGTTAAGATTACTCTGATTTTAAAAATAGAAAATAGAATATTATTATGTTGACTTTGTACTTTTTTGTCTTTTAAATATCAAGAAATGCACCACAATATATGTTTTAAAAAGTGAAGTAAATTCATTAATTTAAGACATTAAAATGCTTTTGTCTCACTGTACAAGATAGCAAATGTTTGTCAAGTGTCATTCTGGAAATCTTTAGGAACTCCTAAATAGCTATTCGTTAAGAAGTCAAATTGTGGAGTTTTCATAATTGTTGAATACACATCAGATACAGTTATTTCTTCAGGGCACCTTTAAAAAAATGTAATTCTATATAAATTGTGAAGTTTAAAACATTTACAAAGATCACATTTTTCATACAAAATAAAAATTAATTACATATAGTCAGTTAGAATTTTATTTGTAATATTTAACATTTATTCCTTTATAAAAAAAGGCAATTGCTACTGAACTCCAGCTATCCACGTTACTTGTTTTTCAGAGATATTAAAAATGAAGATAGCTTTTAATTTATTCAGATTTTTTTAAATTTATTTACTGATTTAAAAAATACAAAAACATAAAACAGTACAGTATATTCATACTTAAAAATGCTATTAAATTTATATGAATATGTAACATATATATTGGCTTGCAATAAAAATAATTTATCATAAACAAATAAACATATTACATACATTCATCTCATTTGATTTTACATCATGCCATCATATATGGCATGGCAAGCATACAGCTCCCACAAATTAATGCACCATATTTACATCTATCCTTTTCTATTTACCCAATAAATTATTGCTTCATCCTGGAATGCATTTCTTTTCTTGCAGTGACATTGATGTCTTTCTGTAAAACGAATTTTTCTTTAACAATAACAAATATTTTATCATTTCCCTTCATTTTCTTTGATGCTATTTGCAGATTCTCTGTACATCCAAGCATATTATTTTTTATTTCATTAGACTGTCCAGTAGGAAAAAAATGTGTTGTTATGATGATGGAGGACAAAATCTTCTACTAATAAAATATAAATATATATGTAATGTTTTCAGTTATTTCAACACATCGTGGGTGAATGGTGAGGCTATTCCATTTCATGTTTTGGCAGATGGTTGATGAAGCTGGGATGATTGCACTACGGAGAAAAATGACGACTCAGGACTTTTCCCTTTTAACAGCATATCTTTATTTTATTTTATAGCAGATGATTTTTTCCAGATGAAGTTACTCAAATAACTTATTAAGTAATTGAATTATTAGATACGACTGACTTTAATACGTTCTAACAAAGAAAGAGGAGCATAGCGGAGGCGTTAGCAGAACGAAGGTGAGAAGGCATCTGTGTAGGCGAACTTATGATGCAGCATTTATATGAAAGGTTATGTAACAGAGTAGCTTCTAGAAGGCACTGGTCTAGGGGAAGATCCTAAATTGCAGAAAATTAATTAAAGGTTGCTGGTTCGCAAAGAGCAAAGCCATCATATTTTTTTTTAATATTTTTTTATTTTACATATATATATATATATGTATTACATTCTGTAGTAAAACACAGGCGGTTGAATCCGTAATGAACTGCCAGAATTTTGATGTCACAGAACGTTGAAACGTCGATCCACAATGAATAAGAAATTTGGCAGTCAAGGTATATTAAATTCAACTTTTATTTCAGTAAACATGCTGCAGAAACAATCAAGTTGGCACATTAATTGTGCCTATACCAAAAAGTTTTACATTTCAGGTAAATTTGCAGTAACAAGGAGCAGACAGACTGCAGTGCAGTTGGGCCAAAGCGTAGAAAGCAAGTGCATTATGTTCAGGGTGACATCTAAATTCAGACTGATTTAGTTTTGGTTCTCAATGCATTTTGATTAGAGAGTTAATATTGCTATAAAATTACTATTGGCTGTTTGAGTTTTAGTTCCATTTACATCATCAGAATTATGTCATATGACATGATATATGAAATGGATTAGTCTCGAAATGATACAGTGCAAATAGAGGTTACTATTTTTTAGAATAGAGAAGGGAAATTAATTTACACTGCTAATTTAATCGTTTTATATATTTTTTATTTTTCTAAAACACACACACACATATATATGCTCATAAAAAGGTGAAACCAGACCGAAATTTACAAGTTAGAAAACCAGCTATTTCAGATATAAAGAAAAATTCCATTATTTTAGATAATGAAGATGGAAGTTCTTCATAAAAAGTGATGAGAAGAGTGAAAAATGAAAAGGTCTATCATGCTGCCTATAAGAAATTTTTATAAAATCATTTTCTAGGATAATCAGTTCCTAATATTATAATAAAAACAACATTCATGTTTAATAAAAAAATTAGATTCAATACTTAAAGCAAAATCGTGTTAGGCTGAGAAATTTCAAACCAATCACAGAATTTGTGAACTTCAAACTTACAGCAAGAACCAGCTGGCTAATTCCAAGTAAGCCAAAAAATTAAGCCTGACAGAATAAGTAAAAGTTTTACACCACATTTTAAAATTTAGGAATAACCAATTAATGTTATTTATTATATTATGATATTTATGAGAGAAAGTGTAAAGATTTACACTGTATTTTTTAATTTAGGAATAACCAATTAGTTTTATTTATAAAACTCAGTTTCACAAAAATTTTAATTGCTAACTATTCATAACATTAATGTGAAGTCAAAAAATTAATAAATTAATTAATGACTTAAAAACAACTGGCAAGGAGAAAGAATTTTGTACCATAATTCTAAATTTTAATTTACTGTAGTCTGTAAAATATTAGAAAATTAGTTTCACTTTTTAAAAGTAGGGAGTGAAAAAAAAAAAGTTTTCATATAACTAATCAAGTAAACAAAGCCACAGAAAGATAGTATGCAAATTCATTAATTACACACTATATACAAAAAGTCATAAGTTTTTGCATATACTTTTTATTATTAACTGAATATTCAGCAATGAGACAGTATAATGCAGACAAATTTTTAAAACTTGAAAAACTGCACAAAACTATATTTAATATATATTATATAACAAGTAAAAGAAACACTAAAACTGAAAGTATGAAAAATATTCTACAAATATCTCAGTCATAAAAATACTTACAATTTTCCACCCAGTCTATTGAAACCTTCATTTACAGCTGACCCTATCAAGTCACTTGCCAATACTTTACAAGCCTACAAGAAATATACATAACTTAATGCAAGTATAGCATTACTAAATTTAGAATCTTTAGCTATGTCTAGGGAAAATGATATATATATATAATGATATAGATAATATATGATATAATCATTACACAGGCCTTTTGTAAAATTAATAAGTAGAATAAAAAAAGTATATTTTAATGCAAAAAATTTGAAGATAATGCTAAGTTTTCTGGTCACCTATCAGATTTCACTCTTTGAGCAATTTTTTTTTTTTTTTTTTTTTAGGCCTCTGAAAATAAAGGTTCATAAAGTTGTAAAAATTTACCCTTATTGTTATATGCATCCAATGCATATGTAATGATATCATACAATGCATATTAAACATTTGAAAAAATAAAAAGATGCAATCAATTTTCATTTGTGCTGAACTTAGCATACTTTCACCCTAACAATAAATACACAAATAAAGGTAAAACTTTTCCAAGCACTTTTTTTTTTTTTCATGAAACTTTTAAGTGCCCAATATTTGATTTTAACGATCTGGCTTTTAAGAGTGGACATTTGGGGATGATTTTGATGTGTTTTAAAGAGAAACTTTTATATTTGCAAGTAAACATTTATACATTTTAGTTTGAATTTGATGAATAAATTACTAGCAATGCATTTGTAAATGATAAAGAAATCTATGCTATTAACTTTTTAATATAAAGATATTGTCATATGTATTTTCAGGTATTTTAAAGAAATAAAAGAATTTTTTCCCTCCAACAGCTGAACCATGTGTAATTTAGACATCTTGTCACCAAGAACCTTATGCAGCGGTGCAATGGGCCAACTGCATTATAACCGTGAGAAGGCAGAGTTTCATACAAGTTTTGACATAGAACAGGTCAGGAGATGAATTCAAAGATCTCCCAGTGGTCTTCTCATACCACCAACCTTTTGACAGGATTTTCAGCTCAACAATATTTTAAGTAACTTTATGCCACACAGACATCATACAATTACAAACACACATTGTCTTTTTTGGGATTTTGAACCCAGGCCTAAGGCTATGAGGACTGGTTCCTCTACCACCAAGTTTACAGGGCATAAAATGAAAGCATGCTAAGAGTTTTCATTTGAAACTAATATATTTTTGATCAAATGAAAAATAAATTAATTTTTCCACATAGATGTTTCCCTTAAAATACTTATAGCTTTAACTGCTTTAAATAACACATGTAATAAAATCTGAGCAGCTCATGGAGCATGTGACAAGTGGAAAGCATGAAAGTGGCATATATACAGTCAAAAGTCGTTAATCTGGACCTCAAAGCTACAAACTTTCTGTGCATGCGTCAACACATATATGCATTGATGCATGCGCGTAATAACTTTACGCATGAGCATATGCGTGTACGCATGCGCATAATACGTTTTATGTATGCATGTTTAATGTATAACGAACGGTATAAGCTAAGCTAAAATTATCTATTTCAGTTAATGTTGCAAATTGCGTTGTTCCTTAATCTTCTAATTGGATCCGGCTTATTATTTTTTGCAGACAGTTAGAGCAATTTTATAAGGGGGGGAGAAGCCACGGCGCACAATGAACTGGAAATTGATCTGTCAGCACTATCCTTATCTTCAGGGCAGATGTTTCTATTTTATTCGGCTTATAATTCCTTACTAAATGTAGTGTTTCATCTCGATCTACTCCGTCTTTGATATGATTTAAATCAAATTCCTCATCATTATAAATATCACGAATACAAATCAAATAGTTTTTCTGGTTGCAATTTTCTAATTTCGACTATGCGTAATGTATGCTTTACGCATGCGCGCGTTGAAAGAAATGTTTAACAAAGTAAACAAATAAATATTAAGCTTTTTTTTTTTTTTTTTTGTAAATCTTGATACCCTTTAGATCATAATTGCACTTTATTTCATAAATTACGGTTTCATATTTTTAATTTTATAATTTCTGCACGCCTTCTTAGCAGATTAAAGCTGATGATCTATAATCTGAAAAAATCGATAATCCGGAATCACCGAAGTCCCTACGAGTCCAGATTAAAGACTTTCGACTGTACTAAAAAATCTGATGTGTAAGCAACCATGACTTCCTTGTACGAAATATTAAATTATATGTATTTTTTCGTGCATTTCATTTTAAATTCATAATTTAGTTCTCACTTTGTGGCAAGGTAAAAATACATAAAAACTAAAAATATCTTCATTAAAAATTGAAAGATATAGAAAAACATAAAACATCAGATATAGTTAAAACAATTTTCACAATTAAAATTAGTTTCTGCATAAAAACAAGCAATTCGGCCAGCAGGCAAGAAGGCAGATTTTTCGGTGCACAAAACTAAAAGTGTCCTTTTGGTCCCACTCGGGAAAAAGACACTGAAGGTGCAGAAAGAATTACTGAGCTTATTGACGTAACAGAGTTAATAGAGTAGTATATATATATATATATATATGACACAATAAAAGCAAGGAAAAACAGAGCACTGGTGATGCATAACATGCATATAAAATAGAACGTAGATTTGAAGAAGAAGCATTCTGATTGCATCGTAAGTTAATGTGCCGAGTTCATAATATGTAAAAAAACTTGGTAGTCGAGGTAGTTTGAATTCCATTTTTATTTGCAGTTGATATTTGTGGACACAGTTTGCTTGGCACTTTAACCATAGCTATTTAAGAACATTTACATTTTTGATATTACTGCAATAGGAAGCAGCATAGTGAAATAACGTCCAAGCAGAGAGAGATGCTGAAGTGCATAGTTATGCAAGATGGAAGCACACAAAGAGAAAAGTTTTGGTTTGAGATAAAAAGTTTCAGTTTCCAATTATTACATCATCAGTGCTGTGCAGGCCATGCACAATGAAATGATCTAGTAATGATGCAATTCAGAGAAGTTATTATGATTTGTAAAACAAAAAAGAATTAAAGGGTTACCATTAGTTTAAAAATTATAATTTTGATTTACATATTTTTATCTTACATTCTTATTGTGCATATTATTATTACTATAAAATTCCTATATACAAAATTTCAACGTTTTGAGGCTACTTGTTTTTGAGTTATGCAAGATGCATACAAGCATACCGTATGCACAGACGTCCCAAAAAAATCTTTTCTGAATCCATTTTAAATCAATTTTGAAATTCGTTTAGGTAAAAAGAGTCCTTTATTCTGTCCTTACATACAGATGACACACAAAAACATCATTAAATTGCATTTGATAGCTGTAAAATGGATATTTTTGTTGAAATATGAAACCCGGAATTTTTTGTGATTACAGTACTTCCTTTACTTTGTACAAGGAAGTAAAATTACAACCACAAAATCTACAAGTTTATCAACAAGTCAGAGAAAACTGAAAGAATTAATTAGATTAGATGAATATATTAGTAAAGGGAAGAATTAAGTTAGATGAGTACTGTATTTGACGTCATATAAGACGCACCCTATTTTAGAAAGCCACACACAAGGAATAAAAGTTTCAATAGTCCGTGCGATAGCGTGGTACCACAATAACTTAAAATGTGGTTTCTTTTTAGTTCTCACATTTCGTAAAAGCCAAATAAACTATCATTGAATGCAATTACCAAATGTATTTTTATTAAGGAAAATTAACAAATGGCGAGCTATTTTGAACATGATAGGTAAATTTCAATAATGAATAAATGAATGAACGGCAAGCAATCAAAGATAATACAAAATAAAGCAGAAACAACAAAAAACACAGATTCAAGGAAAACGTTGCCTATCATGAAATTAAACTTTAATCACTCCCATTCACACACTTGTGAAATAGAGGGTCGCTTCATTCTACCTGAGGGCATGATGTGGCTCTTCTATCCACTTGTTCCATCGTTCTCGCACTTTTTCCTTAAATGGCTTATTCACCGATACATCTAAAGGCTGCAATTGGCTAGTCAGTCCACCAGGAATGACAGCTATCCGGGTTTTTAATTCTCTCGCTATATTCTTTATGGTTTCAGTTCTATGGGCGCTAAACTGATCCAAAACCAAAAGAGAGGGTTTTCTTAAGAGTCCACCAGGTTGCCTCGCCCATACATTCTGTAACCACAGTTTCATTCCAGCTTCGTCCACTCAGCCTTTCAGATGAACATGAACAATTACACCTGTTGGAAGTTTTTCTTTTGGATGAGTTTCTCTTTTGAATATGAAAAACAGCGGTAGTTTTGTGCCATCAGCACAACATGTTCGAACTACTGTATATCGTTTTTTTTTTCATGACCTGTGGTTTTTACGGTTATTGATTTAGACCCTTTAATACTCACAGTCTTGTTGGATGGTACATCAAATGTGAGTGGAATTTCATTTATATTTCTTATTTGACCGAGCTCAAAAGAAGTTTTCTTGCGTGCATTTATAACAAACCTATGAAATGCTAGTATTTTTTCTTCATAATCTGCTGGCATTTTCTGTGAAATAATTGTTTTTGTGTGCATTGATAAACCTTGCCTTTTCATGAACTGTAGCACCAGCCCTCAGACCCTGAAAAGTTCCAATTCCCATTTTTCTGCAAATCCTTTGGCCTTCATTGATTATCATTTTGGTTGAAACATATCCAGATTTCCTTCTTATCTATCACCCACACTTTTATGGCATTTTCAAGTTTCAGGGCCAAGACAGAGCTGGGCATCGAAGGTTATGTTTTTGTTTTTCAGCAGTTCTTCAAGTTGATCTTCCTGCAGTCACCAAGTACATATATCATTTTTTCGGTAGGTGGTGGACCGAAATGCCTTGCTGCTTGCTCTGTGTCCATGCACTTTGGCATAGTTTAACACTCTTAGTTTATACTGAATTGTCTAGCTTAATCTCTTGTTTCCTGTAGTCCTATTTTCCAGGGTATTTTTTTAAAACAAATAGTTTTAAGCACCGATACCGACATGTTTATACAGAGTAGCACCAATACAGACACATGTGCCAGTGGAGTCAAAGAAAGTCTATGTAAAGAAGGAAAGGCTCCATAGACGTAATGTGACCATCGAACCTGT